CCTCCTCCCCTTTCCCCTCCACTGCGGGCTGGGGATTCAAAAGCCTGCCTTCCCTGGCTGGGAATCGAACCCAGGCCGCGGCGGTGAAAGCGCCAAATCCTAGCCACTAGACCACCAGGGATGACATGGGGAAGGCAGCCCTGCTCCACCCTCCCGCCCGCCTCCATCTTGCCTCCTGCCCTGGCCCCAGGCGCCACCCCACTGGGGCGCAGGGATTTGCTCAAGGCAGGTCTCCCAAGCCCTCGCTCCAGGGCCAGCAGCCTTCCCTTGCACCCCTGAGCACGGGGAAAAGGTGGCCATTCTCCACTGGGAAACAATGCCCCTGCCCACAGCCAGGGCTGGCCCCCAAGGACCTGGAGGCCTGCGCGGGGGGCGGGGGGGCTCTTTGGAGGGGCGAAAGCGGGGTGTGCCACGGAAAATAGTGCTACACCCTGCCCTGTGGGTGACTGGGCACTGGGGGATTCCTCCTTGTCTGGTTGGTGATTGGCCAGGAGGTGAACCGGCCCCCCCAGGTTAGCCGTGTGGCCGCGGTGTCCCGCAGGAGAAGGCACCAGTCGCTCGTGGTGATGACGGGGCGTTAACATATCTGAAACATGTCGTAAGAGACCTGAAGCGATCCGGAGCTGTCCTGGAGGTGAGGTGTTTTCTGACCAACCAGGTTTTTGCAAAAAACCCAACCTTCAGTTTTCTATCCCTCACTTGCAAATGCTGTAAAATGGGGCCAGCCCTAGATAAGTGACGAGTGTGTGTGTGTGTGTGTGTGTGTGTGTGTGTGATGCAAATTAATTAAATCCAGCTGATGTCGTGTTTTTTTTAAACAGCGCCGATCACAATAACTGCGCAGCGTGGTGCGGTGCGGCGCGGCGCGGCTGAGCTGCCCTTAGCAAAGATGGCGCCCAGTTTGACTTCAGCGCGTTTCCTTATAAAGATGGGTGAAGCCCCTCATGCCCGCACTAGACGTGGCGTCTCCTTTTGACGCCGTTGCGTTCGGGGGAGGTAACCAATGAGCGGCAGGGAACGCCGGGAGCGGCGCTGTGATTGGTGCGCGGCGCGGATTCAAACCGTGGGCGGGGCGTGCCTCTTACACATTTCCTGGACCATCACAGCTACAACAGGACTCTAAGTACAAATAATCTATTTTAGCTGGATAATACTGGCAGTTTTGCTTGAATATAATTATGATTCTGGAATTATGATACTGGGATATTGTTCAAAAAAGTAAAAGACCAGAAATTTTGAAAAAAAAAAAAAAAAAAAGGAAATTAAAATTCAAATTAAAAAAAAAATCAATATGTAAATGTACGTACAAGTCTCCGGGCTCGGGCCTGCGCGCACACCGCAGGATGTGACAGCGTGTGAAGCCCTGGGAGTCGGGGCCTGGATGTTTGTGGACTGACCCGTGGGATTCCCCAAAAATGCGGACTTGGGAAGTTGTCCAGTGCCCTAAATAAAGCGTGATCTGATTTAGCATGTTAATTTGACTTTTTTCAGTCAACCAAACTAAAAAAGTACCCCTCGGGTTAATTTTACATTCAAATAGACACAAGTATTTGAACCGAAATATTCGATTAGGGGAAAAAAAATGTAAATGCAGCACGCTTCATGTGGTTTAAATGTTATATTCAAAGCTTTGGGTGGGAAGAAGTTGTTTTTATTGGGATGTGTGTAAAAAGGTCAAGACGGGAAATCGCAGGTACTTCCCTGACCCGGGTTGTTTAAATTTAAGAAAAACAAAGCAGGAAGCGAAGGCACAGAGGACTGTTGACACGCTGATTTTAACACACCCAAGGAAGTGTGCGTGACACGCCGTGCTTTGGTTTTGATGTGACCAATTAAATGAATTCATAATTTGGGTTTTGGTTTGGGTTGTTATGTGAGTGTATTTACTCTCCTGTTTACAAATCAATAAAACATACGTTACATACTGTCTCTCGCACTTCCTAGGGAAAATCCCCTGAAAAATCTTAATTACAGCTTTCAAACTGCCCAGCTTGCCCAATACGGCGTTGGCATCCGTTCACTGTTACTGCTGAATTTGACGCAACCATGAATTTTTAGAAATGGAAAATTTCCCATGGATGAATAAAGCACTGGAAAATTTTTCCACTCCACGCGTCTGCGACTGACTCACGGATTTGGCTGATTTGGCTTGGACCTGGAAAAATTTTCCTTAAAGTGCCTAGTGCAGGCAGCCCAGCTCTGTTTGGCACCCTGGATTTGGGATCTGTTTTGCTCCATGGGAGCCTGAAGGGACAAGGTGAGGCCTTGGAAAGGATGCATCATGACTATATTTGAAACTTGGTGTCTACCGAGTTCATAAGCAACAGCTGATATGGTTTTTTTTTGTGGGCCGCATCTTGGTCACCCCAGCTTTTAACTGTTGGCTTTGAGAAGTAATGCTTGCCACTTGTTTTTGCAGATCCGGAGGGTGCTGGGGAGAGTCAGTACTTTGACACTGGGGGCTATGGGTTGTGGCGGGGGAAAGCTTTGGCTAGAAACCGATTTGTGAAATTTGCTCTGGTTGTAACTTTGCAGGATGACATGGGCTTATTCCCTTTAGGGAGGTGTTAAACAGCTAAAGCAAATTGGCTTTTTACTTTCGAATCAATAGTTGTATACTTATACAGCTGAATGGAGTTGTAAGACCAGGCATCCATAATACTGCTCTACATCTGCGGGAGCGTATTGCAGCACTCCTGAATTTATTGTGGAATGTCTTTCTGGTGCATTAATCGGCAACCTTAAAGTTTTATCTTTTTCATGTTGGTTTCATAGCAGTGGATATGTTAACTTGTTAGAAAGGCCAGCTTTTTACTTGGAGTTGCCTTAACATGGCTGCAAAACTCACCTCATGCCCTGGATCGGATCTGTGGGTCTCCTAGTGGGCTGGGTCCAGCCCAGGGCTTGAGGCAGCTTGGGCACGAGGCATGTGATAGTAAGGTCTGTTCAAAAAATGATATAATTGCTTGAGTGAATAGTTAGAATCAAAGCCTCTCTGCAAACTCTTGTCCTCCTCCTGGGTTGGCTAGAAAGTTGGTTTGGTACCTTTACTTAAAGAAAGCAGGAAGAAGCCTTTCATTAATGGATGAAGGGATGCTTTATTTTCTTTGCTTGCATTGTTCACTAGTGTTTGTTAGCCGTGTTGGTTTGGTGGATGCTAGGATAGAGTCAGCATGAGCTTTCATAGGCAACAGTCTATTCTCAGATGCTGTGACTGGAATGGCAGAGAGAAGAATCTATTAAAAAAGAGACATGGGGAGGGGGATGTTGGGAGGAGAGGTAAGAAGTGGGTTGATTAGATCAGCTGGCATGAGCAATGTAGATAACACCTGGAGGGGTGCCAGAGTTAACAGCCAGCCCAGGGAAGGAGAGTATAATCCACAATTGAACCATTCCCAGCTGTTAGTGATTAGGAGCTGGTTCACAATTGGTATAGGTCAGAGGTCCACAGACGCAGTGTCTTGGCCCTGGAGGGAGAACAATTACCTTTTAGGCTTTGAAGTGCTGTTGGTCTGACTCCAGGTGGTAGGAGTGACCACCCAGCCCAGAATGCCCTGTTGCAGGGTGGGTGTGCTCAGGTGTGTGCTCTGAAGCAGGGTGGGTGGGTGTGCTCACATGTGTGCTTGTATCTATGCTTTGGGACTCCCAGGGAATGTGGTTGGGGGGGTGTTTTCACTTTTTTCCCTTTTACCCTAAACATGAGTTCAATGAAATTTTAGTAGCCTGTACTTGACTGAAACGTGCAGTGTGCTGGGGGGAATACCTGGACTAGGGGTGCACCGATAAAGATTTTCTTGGCTGATACTGATAGCTGATGATTAATCAACCAGCTGACATACCAGCTGATGCCAATCTAATGACCAATATTTAGTAATAGTGCAAGGTGTTTTAAACTGCTGACATAAACCTTGTATTTGCCTGTTATGCATTTATCTCACACATGCATGTGTCCTGCTTGCTCTTGCCCTTGTTGAGGAAGGCAGTGACCACCTTATTCCCATGCATGTTGCTCCTTTGCCCATGGCTCCTACCCACAGCCCTGCTCCCTGTGCTGCTGTCCTGCAGGAGTGGGGTGGACCCTTGTGTGGACAGTGGCACTGGTTGTGTTTGGAGCCCCAGAGCATGTTACTGCCTCAGCACTGGTGGGCCCCCCACAGCTGCGCTCCCATGGTCGCTGGGGAGAAGCTGCTTTTGTAAAGGTGCCTGGTGCCCAGCAGAAGGGAAAGCCCTTTACCCCACCTGCACCCAACCCAACATCTCCCTGGTGCTCAGGCCCCTGCTGCCCACCTGGCATTTCTATGGCAGCAGCAGGAGCTGGTAACAGTCCCTTTGTTGCTGAGTGTGCCTGTGACTGCTCCCCGGTGCCCTCTCCCCTTTCCACTGCTTGCCCGGGTGGGCTCAGGCTGGTGGCAGGGTGCGAGGACTGGACTATGCTCGCTGGGGTACTTTGGGCACATGGCCATAATTATTGGCTACAACCAAAAAAAGCCAATAGATGATAAGGTCGTTTCTCCTTTTATTGGTGCTGACCTGATAGCCAACTGATATATCGGTGCATCCCTAACTTGAACCCATGTTTTTGTGTTCCCAGGGCTTGCGGGGGCATGATGAGAAGCTGCAATTGAGTAGGGAGTGAGGACACAGGTGGCAGTTAGAGAGTTTTTACTGAACAAGAATACAAGGGACATTGATAAAAATATGCCAACAGAAGGAAAATGGGGGGCCATAGAGGTAAGACTGTATCACAGCAGCCACTTGCAGCAATGGGAGGTGCACAGGTGAGAAGCAGTACAGTGCGGGATGCCTGGAGGACCAACCAGACCTGTGTAATGGAGTGCTTGTTGTCCCCACGTAATGCTGACCCAGTTAAAGTATTGGGGGAAAAAAAATCAAGTACACTTTTGAACCTTTTCAGGCAGCTTTACATGGTTTAATGGGCTTGAGCATCTGTCTCTTTCAGGCTTAGACCATGTTTAAAATGTGCTGTGTTACATGTGCCTGTACCCCCTGTTGAGACCATGGTTAATACAATTCAGTCTGTGGATGCTCTCTTGTTCTGCCACTTCACGTCCAAGTTATTCTTTAAAAGGTGGTGGTAGTGTCAGTTTGCTTGTGTTGGGCTTTTTCTTTTTTTTTCTCTCATTATTTTCATGTAATGGTGGCCACTCTGAGATCAGTCATAGAATGCCCAGGGAAGTTAACTTTCTGCCACGAGCTTTTGTGTGTTTCTGAAACTGGCTGCTGGTTAAGACTCAAAGTCTGTCCTCTCCTCAGAGTTTATTCAATTGGCAAAGAACTTTGAAGACTTCCGGAAAAAGTGGCAGAAGGCAGAGCATGACCTGGCCAGGTACAGGGACCTTCTTATGAAAACAGAAACCGAGTGCAGCGCGCTGGATGTCAAGTTGAAACATGCTCGCAATCAGGTGGATGTGGAGATCAAACGAAGACAGCGAGCTGAAGCAGACTGTGAGAAGCTGGCAAGTATTGTGTTACCTATCCTGATTCTTTTAAATCAGGGTGTCGAAGTCATTTGGCCCCATGGGCTAGATTCATGCTGCAGGGCTTCTCAGGAGCTGGATGATTCACCTCTGACAGCTGTTTGGAGCCACTGCACGGGCATAACCCCTGAGTGTACAGTATGCTACTGGAACTTTTCCCCTTCTCCCCCAAACTTTTTCTTCTGGTGCTGATTTTTAATCGCTAATGGCAACCAGAAGCCTCAAATTTGGGGTTTGGGCATGAGTGGCAGTGATGTTCACCTCCCAAGTCCTGGAGTTGTGCCCAGCTAAGCAGTTCTGGCCATCATACTGAGAAGCCCTGCAGGCTGACATTTAACCACTCATGGGCTGCTGGTTGGACAAGCCTGACCTAAATGAATGTCTTCAACCTATGTAGAAGTCCATTCAAGTAAGTATCTAATAAATGACCTGTACACCTAATGTATGTTCTTTCCTCAGTGACATATGTGGTGGGGTGTTGAGCAAATGGAGAGAAATATGTGAATTGGCAGAGCATACCACAAAAGCGTGACGTTGCAATATTGGAGCCTTCTGAGGCAAACCTCAACAAATGCTGGGAAGTTGCCCTGGAAATCTTCTGGTTTGCTGTGAGGCCTTTTGTCACAGTTCCTCTCCATCTCTGAAGTTTAGCAACAGTTGTGTTTTATAACTGCAGCGGGGGGGTTGAATTTTGTAGAGGACTTTTTGATTTATGGGAGACATGAACTAGTACGTATGGCATCAATAAATGAATCGTTTGTTCCAAGAAATCTATTTTGGAGTATCACATAGTCTTTCACTGTAGGTGCTGGTTGGATCCAAGTGAACTTTGTAGCTGCAATTAAATTGGCTTTGTTACCTCTTGAAGGTTGAAGGCAGTGTAGGGTGGGACATGAATTCTACTTTATTGGCATTAATATGCTGTTGGTGTAGCAAGCTTCTCGGAGTCTATCTGTGTAATGATGTATTCAACGTCTTATCATCTCACTTGCCATAAATCTGAAGCGAAGCTCCATCCCCAGGCTACTTCTGATAATTTCTGCCTTACAGGAGCGTCAGATCCAACTGATTCGAGAACTGCTCATGTGTGATGCATCAGGCAGCATTCAACTAAGTGAAGAACAGAAGTCTGCCCTTGCTTTCCTTAACAGACCTCAAGTCCCCAGTAGGGGTTCTGGGAATAGAAGGTAGGCAAGGCAGCAGCTTGACTAAGCAAGACAACTGAGTAATGTAAGAGCATCTAAGGACTTCTCCATGAGAACTATTAGAACAGGTTAGGTGTATGGGAAAGAAAGAAAATAAATCTATAACTTGCTTTTTTACTTCCTCTGATACTGTACCCCAGAATTTCAGATGACCTCTTCCCCAGACTAATCTAATACATTTTTTTAAGTTTGAAAATGAATCCTAATGTTTTACAAGTGGTAGGATTAAGGTGGATTGGAGGCAGTGGAGAGGGCATCCATAGGAACAGTGCTCTCAAAGCATGCAACAAAGCTGCTTTGTGAGCACTCTTCCTATGGATGTTCTTTCCACTGCTTCCAATTCACCTATAATTCTACCACTTGTAAACGATTTTCTTCTGGCGTAGCAGTACTAAACTACATGTTTGTAACCAAGCCCACACATCAATGCTGTACCTAAAGGTGGTAAAACAGCAGTTCAGAAATGCTGCTCAGCACCAAATCCACTCCGAAGATCTTTGGTACTCGCACTCGGATCTAGGATTCTATGTGGAAGACTAATGAAACTTCTGCTGTGTGCTGGATAACCTGTCAAATAAGCAAATGATAAATCTGGAAAGACTTGTGTTTTGAAGTGCTTCCAACTATTTGAGAGGTCATCTGATATGTTCAAAATAGTAAATGATATGCAAATTATATATTCCCCTTTAATTTTGGTGATGCAAGAACAAAATGCATTTAGTGAAGCTGAAAACAGTAGATTTAAAACAAATAAGGAACTAATTGTCATGAAATATCACTATGGCCATAAACAGGTTATACATAGTTATGCTAGTATTTTCTGGGATGGCTGTAAATCTTCATGGGTCATAAACCAGCCTTGAACTGAGGGTGCTTACGAAGTGTGTTCCTCTGTGGGACAGGATATTCCAGAACTGTTCACTGAGCCTTCTTGCAGCTTCTGCAGAAGTATCAGAGAGTAACTGTATTGGTGAATAGTAAATTAGATTAACATCTCATTTCATTGATCTATAACTTCTTGTCCTGTCTTGTTTGGTATTTAAATAGTCTTAGCTGGGTATTTAAATCTAATGCTACAATACAAAAAGTTGAGTGGGCAGTGTAGGTGAAGAGTTGCTTTTCTTGTTTGTGCTCTATAATCTGTATTTTGGGCAGAGGTTGATAGTAGCTGGAAGAAGTAGAAATTGTATGGAGAAAGGGGGAGGGAGGAGGAGAGTGTGAGCTCTTGTATTCTGAGGAAATACCACAAAATATTACCAGGCTTAATTTCAGTTGTTTTATGTCCTGGCTCTGGGCTCCAGGTCAGTAAGCTTGCCCTGGAATCACAAAGTAAAATGTAGGTGAAACCTTGAAACTAATGGATTTATTTTTATTTTTTTTTAATTTAGACTTTCAACAATTGATGAATCTGGCTCAAATCTATCTGACATCAGCTTTGACAAGACTGATGAATCATTGGTAATGTCACTTTGACGATTATTTACTTTCCCTCTGCCTAGAGCCACTTCAGCAGTGCTGTGTCTTCAAATGTTGCCCATAAAAGTACTGTGCTATATGCGTATATCCAGTAAAGTGTTAGAAATTACTGTGGTATCCTGTGTGTAAGCATACTGTGCATGATAGCAGGCCAAGGACATAAATTGTTCCAGGCATTGAAAGAAAAGCAGTCATGATGGTAGGCTGTGGCTATACTGTTACAGCATGACTGCCTGCAAAGGACAAGCTGACATTACCCTGTCCAGATCCAGCATTTGTACCTGTCTGGTTCATTGGCAGTATAAATCTGAGCATGGGGGAAACTTGTCTTTTTGAGGTGAGCTAGTTCTGTGAATGTTGTGCAGTTAATGTAATGGTTCTGCATATGGAAACATGGGTGATCTTAAAGAAATTCCAGAAACTGGCACCGGTAGACGGGTTACATATTTGAAAATAAATCGCCTACATTAGGGGGAGCCTGTACTCTGATGCTTCAGGCAGTGGAGTACTTGCCCTGCCACACATCCTAAAAACTTGCTAAACAAAACTTAAATAGTGTATTTGAATGGTGATTTTACTGATATGTAAATACTCTTTTAAGTTTGCATCAATGTAGTTTCACAGTATGGCAAGATTGTAGTATAGAATGAGATCGACACTATCTTTATTTGATACAATATGAATTGTTTCATGCATAGTCATTCTGGATGGAACTTTTATGGAAGGGAGCAGTCGATGAAAAGATTGAAGGATTTCGGAGGCTGGACTTGTCAGTAATTGCCCCTTATCTATGCTATCAACATCTAAACAAACATAGGCATGGAGGAACTATAGTATATGATACTTAATTTCCTGGTTCTAGCCTTCAGCAGGTTAGGAGTGGAGCCAGAAGATGCACTGAATTTATAACAGATGGTATTAAACAGACCAGAATGTGTCTAGACTACTGTTCACTAAAATATATTTAATGAAAGACATTACCAGTATGCTAACTTGATGCTTTGCCATTCCTATAGGACTGGGATTCTACACTGGTGAAGACCATTAGGCTGAAAAAGAGAGAGAAACGGGTATGTTCTGTGTCTTTTTTTTTTTTCTTTAGGTAGTTCGTGGGCAGTGTGGAGTACACAAAGGGGGATACACCACCCGTAGTGGTTCTGCTATCGTAATGGATTTTGAGCTGGTAGTTGCATCCAACTTCAGACTAATCAGATCTCTTAAAAGTCTACCTGTAGGCAAGAGAAGAGAGATCCCTGCTTAGTTAATCTGTAAAGCTGAAGAACCTATATGTTACAATTCCTAGTTCCTCGCATTTGAGCTTTGTTATAATCACAGAAAAATCTGGTAAAAACCAGATTGATTTTTTTTTTTTTTTTTTTTTTTTTCCCCCGAGAAAAACATGGGAAATGGTGGGTTCCCCCATGCAGGCTGGCAGAGTTTCAGTCTGCAAGGGGCTGCGGGGAGCAGGAGGAGGGCGGTCAGGCGGAGGGTGCCATGTGCTGGTGAGTGTGTACACATACACATGGGTGCCAGGCAGCTTGGAGAGCAGCTCCCCCAGATAAATTGGGATGGGTGGGTGGGATTGAGGCCCTCATAATGAGGGGGAAAAGGGAGTGGGGCTGGGGCTGCTGCTGAGCTGGGGTGGTGCATTGGGCTTGAGGCCTGGGGCTGGAATGCACAGCCTCAGGGCCCATATGAGGGCTGTGGCACCCATGTGTATGTGCACACATGCACATGGTGCCCCTGCCTGACTGCCCTCCTGCTCCCTGCGGCCCCTTGGAGGCTGGAACTTTGCTAGCCTGTAAGGGGAAACCCACCATTTCTCTTTTAAAGGGGAAAATCTGGGTTTTACCACATTTTTTCCATGGCAAACAGAGGACCCAGATCCCTGAACATAATAAAGCTTAAATGCAAAGAACTAGGAATTTTTATCATATAGGTACTTCATCTCTCTAGGAGCTCTGCTAGCCTACAGCAGGCAGACCTCACCTGATATGCTCTCACCTGCCCGCTCACAGGGTCCACTCTGGTTGTGCTGCCCATAGGGGAGGGGGCTGCAAACCTGGGTACCTGGCCCCGTAGCCTTGGCAGCTGGGGGCCTCCTCTGGCAGGGTTGGGGGAATGGGGGGCTGTGAGGGATGAGTGAGGGGCACTGGCAGGGCCCAGGGAGTTGTGGGTGGAGAAGGAGGGGAATGGCATGGGCAGGGCACCCACATATCAAGGCTGCTCAGTGCCACAAAGCTGGGGGGTGGGGGCAACGACAGCTGCAACTAGACACGAGTCCTAGCAAGCGATGGGGGCAGGGGGAGCTCTGATTTGTCCATGATAACCTCAGGATCAAATGCCAAAATGTATAGGTATTTAGAGGGGGGTATTTTAGTTATAGTGATTGAGGCATTGGTAGGCTTCCAAATTGCTTTTAAAATTGTAAATATATCAATACAATGTTGTGTTCATCTGATACACTGTGTGTGTGTGTGTGTGTGTGTACATGCACACACACAGTAGCATTTGTTTTTAATAGCGGAAAAATGCAGGTTTGGTTGGGGGGGTTAAATCGGAGAATTTGCAGTGTTTTTATCGGCAAAAACCAGGATCATCCCTAGTTATAATTCAGGCTGGGTTTTAGGGTTCAAATGGAAAACTTCAGAAGCCACTAATCTGTCAGCTGGAGACAGCTAAAATAATTCATGTCTGAAACTGATTTGCCCTACGAGTTCTAGGTGGGAGTTACTTGAATGAAACTTCTTACTGCATCTTTGGTGTCTGCTGGGTAATCTGTGTTTAGGGGAAAATCAAAGTTGTTAGTCATAAAAATGAGCTCGTACCGCCACTGTTGTCAGTATTTCTGGTGGATGCTGAGGGAAGAAGAGCCATACTCTCAGTTGTCTTAGGAGAAGATTTGCTGTTTGTGCCCAGTTTTTCAATAGCAGTACTCCATTTGGAAAGGTGAATTACCTGCATCCACAGAACTGAGTTGGCCAGCACAAAGCCTTGGATATTGAATCATTCCTACTAGTCATTTAGTTGCTTTAAATCCACAAGTCGTCTTGCCCTGGGTAGAACAAAATCTGCGAACGCTGAATTCAAAGCTAATCCAGCCCTTCAGGGAATATATGCGAGAGTGGACTGAGTTTCTGGCAACTATCCCATTTAACAAGCATGCTTTCTTTTAGCGTTCATCCAGGCAGTTCACAGAAGGTCCACCAGGTCCTTTAAAGAAAGCCCGGTCAATTGGTTCCACAGCAGATCAGGTGTGTAGTCCAGCTGGCTTTGTATACATTTTAAACATTTGATTGACAGTGTCTGTATTTTTACAGTCCTGTCTTGTAGTGAAGCCATTCTTTGAAACCAGAGCTATTAAAACGCTTGCACAGGAGGCTGTCCAATGAACTTGTATCTTGTATCTATATTATGTAGCAGGGGTGGGTAATTATTTGGGCCTGTGAGCCATGTAGGGATTGCTTTGGCGAGTTGTCATGGACTGGCTT